ACTATTTGTTTTGGTCTCATGTTTATAATGATGAACTATCATGTTTTGCAAAACTGGTGTGTATTGATTATTGGGACCTTCTGTGTATTTAGTCCAGGGAAATTATTCCACCGTGTGTGGTGACTCTGGCCACTAGGGAACAGATCTGAGTTGGGCCGTGATGACTCTAGTGCTCAACGATTGTAAGTAAAAGACCTAGGTTAAGCTAGGTGACCTTCAATCGGATCGTCTTCGAGAAAAGGCCCGGGTTGCCACCCTGAGGATGACTCTTAGTTCTGTGTTGGATCCAACCGGGCTTATAGCCTTGAGAACTGTGTGGCATAGTAGTTGTTATTTTCTTGGTACCCAGAAAATTATTGGTGTTCATGTTGTAATCTGTTTCAGTGAAAAATGTCATTTATTATGTTTTTGAGAGACATGAGTATTTTAACTGTTGAACTGTGGAACCTTATCAAACTGTATGCCAATCTAGTTTCTGTGATATATATCTTATTTTGGAATTGAACCCTGTTTTCAAAACTGTATATACTATCCATGTTGCTACTCACTGAGCTATCAACTGACTTAGTTTTTTTTTTATCATTTCCAGGTGTCAGAAGGACTTAGACTGGACTTATGGCATAGCAGGGACTCGATTACATGGACCTCTAGGACATTCTTTTATTTTAGAGTGTTATGTCAAGTTTTTGCATATTTATTTATTTATTTTATTTTTATTGGGGTTCATTTAGGATTATTTTGATATGTGGGCTATTTATATACTATAAGTTTGGATGGTTTTGGTTACGGTTGATTTTGCCGTTTATAATTGTGGCATGTCTGGTTTGAGTTTTGGTTATTTTTTATTGGACTATTGTTTAGTTGTTCAATGTGATTATGGATTCATGTTTAGGCTTACGTGTGCCTTGGGCTAAGGCCCTGTGGGCCACGACCGGTCATACCCGAGTTTGGGGTGTGACAATTATGGTATCAGAGCTGTAGGTTATCGAGTTACATATCTTGCATTTCATCATTTAGACGAGGTCCGAGTCCCTATAGTCCTTAGTAGTGTTTGGTTAAGTTAGTTTTGTTTAAGCTTGTGTTGAGCTTTTCTTAATTTCATTTTGAAGGTTAAGAGATGGCACATAGGAGAAGAAATGTCAATGTTCTTGGAACTGATCAACCGGCCGCTAATCGTAGAGTTCCCCCTGTTCCTATTCCCCCTACTTCACCACCTGTTGCTCTAGTGGTCCCTGAAGCACCAGGAGTTGTTCCTGCTGCACCAGCCGCACAGGTTCTATAATCATTGTTGGCACTACTGAACAATCATGTAGCTCTATAATCAACAGTTCCATTAACTTTAAGTTTGGATAGAGGTTCCTTATTTGAGAGGTTTATGAAAGCAAAACCTCCAGAATTTCACGGAACAGTGGACCCTATGGAGACAGAGGCATGGGTACAAGAGATGGAGAAAATATATGATGTTCTAGGTTGTTCAGTAGACTAGAGGGTGGCCTTTGCAGCTTTTAGGTTCAAGGGCCAAGCAGAGCATTGGTGGCGCATGGTGAAACGTCAATATGAGAGTAGAGAAACAAAGCTAGTGTGGAGCAAGTTTCTAGAATTGTTTAATGAGAAATACTTCCCTGAAGCTGTGCGAAGGCAGAAGCAAGTGCCTTTTCTCAATCTGAAGCAAAATGACATGACAGTGGCTCAGTATGAAGCCAAGTTTGCAGAGTTGTCAAGGTATGCCCCACATCAGGTGGCCATAGAGGAAGATAGAGTGATGTTGCTTGAGAATGGCTTGCGGTCAGAAATCTATGCAAAAGTAGCTATTTCGGAGATGAAGACATATTCTGCATTGGTAAGCAAGACATTACTAGCTGAAAAGGGAGCAGAAGAGGAAAAGAGAGCTGAGGAACAAAAGGCCAAGGAACCACAAAACAAGAGACTTAGGGAGGAGAGACAAGTAGAGTATCGTGGTGGTGGTAGTAATCCTAGCAAGAAGCCTTACACCCAAGGTCAGGTTAGTAATGGCATGAGGCAGCAGAATCAGAGGATTTGTGACATATGTGGTAGGTCACATTCTGTTGGGTATAATTGTGATGGCACAGGTCGAATATGCTTCAAGTGTGGCAAGCCTGGGCATCTCTTTGCACAATGTAGGTCCAAGGGACTGGGAGGTCAGTCAGTAGCACAGTCATTTCAAGGGCAAGGGCAGAGACGAACTTTTTATAGCGGTGGGTTTAACCAGAAGCAGAATAATGGCAAAAGTGGGACTAGCCAAGGCCAGACATCCGGGAATGGGATTCAAGAAAAGAAGTCAGCGGCTACCTAAGGACGTGTTTATGCCCTCACTAGAGAGGAGGCTGAGGCTACTCCATCTGTGGTACAAGGTACACTCCTTATATCATCTGTACTTGCCAAAGTGTTATTTGATTCAGGATCTACACATTTTTTTGCTGCACCTAAGTTTCTACGTTGTTTGTCTATTCCTTGTGAGCCTTTGGATGCATGTGTTGCTGTGTCTACACCACTAGGGGAAACAGTAATGTTAGGGGATGTTTGTAGATCTTGTGAGATAGAGTTAGATGGTAAAATTTTTCCAGTGGATTTGATTTCTTTAGAGATGAAGAATTTTGATGTGATTTTGGGGATGGATTGGCTAACGAAGCATCATGCCTCTATTGATTGTTTTGGAAAGAGGGTAGTTTTTGCTATGCCGGGGCAACATGAGTTTTTCTTTCAGGGAGATGGGAAAGGGTCTTCTATTTGTTTTATTTCTTCCCTTCAGGCTAACAGAATTTTGAGAAAAGGGCGTCATGGTTATTTAGCTTGTGTGGTGAGTACTGAACAACCAAAGCAGAGATTAAAGGAGTTTCCTGTAGTGAGGGAATTTGTTGATGTTTTTCCAGAGGATCTACCTAGTCTTCCTTCAGACCGTGAGGTCGAATTTTTCATTAACTTGGTCCCCAATGCAACACCTATATTTTAAGCACCCTATAGAATGGCATTGTTGGAGTTGACAGAGTTACAAACTAAGTTACAGGTGTTGCTAGACAAAGGTTTTATTAGGCCTAGTGTTTCACCTTGGGGAGCACCTGTGTTGTTTGTGAAGAAGAATGATGGATTTACGAGGTTGTGTATTGATTATAGAGAATTGAACAAAGTCACAGTGAAGAATAGGTATCCTTTGCCACGCATTGATGATTTATTTGACCAGTTGCAGAGAGCTCAAGTATTCTCTAAGATTGACTTGAGGTCAGGCTATCACCAGTTGAAGGTAAGGGATGAGGATGTTCCGAAGACTACTTTTAGAACCCATTATGGGCATTATGAGTTCTTGGTGATGCCTTTTGGTCTCACAAATGCACCAGCCACATTTATGGATTTAATGAACAGAGTATTTAAACCCCAACTGGATAAATTTGTGGTAGTGTTTATTGATGATATCCTAATTTATTTGAGGAGTAAGGAGGAGCATGAGTAGCATTTGAGGGCAGTACTACAGATCCTTAGGGAGAAGAGACTGTATGAAAAATTTAAGAAGTGTGAATTCTGGTTGAGCAGTGTATCCTTTTTGGGTCATGTAGTGAGTAAAGATGCGGTATCTGTGGATGGCACGAAGGTGACAACAATTGTTGATTGGCCACGACCTACTTCTGTGACGGAGGTATGTAGCTTTCTAGGGCTTGCTGGGTATTACAGACGGTTTGTGGAAGGATTCTCCCGTATTGCTTTGCCACTTACCAATCTCACTAGGAAAGGGGTAAAGTTTGAGTGGAATGATGATTATGAGCGTAGTTTCCAAGAGTTTAAATCGAGATTGACATCAGCTCTAATCCTTGCCTTACCTACAGATGGAGGTGGTTTTGTGATTTATAGTGATGCTTCATGACAAGGTTTAGGATGTGTGCTCATGTAGCATGGGAAGGTGATTGCTTATGCGTCACGACAGTTGAAAATACATGAGAGAAACTATCCTACGCACGACTTGGAGTTAGCAGCAGTGATTTTCGCTCTTAAGATCTGGCGGCATTATTTGTATGGAGAGTCATGTGAGATTTACACTGATCATAAGAGTTTGAAGTATATTTTCACACAGAAGGAACTAAATTTGAGGCAAAGAAGATGGCTTGAGTTACTAAAAGATTATGATGTGAATATTTTATATCATTCGGGGAAGGCATATATGGTGGCAGATGCCTTGAGTAGGAAGGTCGCAGTTGGAGATGTAGCTGCTTTGTCTATTGAGAGTTGCTTGGTGGAAGACATGAGACGTTTAAGGCTTGAGGTCGTTACGCCTTGTGATAGGGCTTATTATAGTCAATTGACAGTTCAGCCAACCTTGAGAGAACAGATTCGTTTAGCTCAGGAGATTGACCCCCAGTGTGAGCGTATTAAAGGAGAGATGGCAGAGGGTAAGCATGTAGACTTTGTGGTTAGTGATGATGGGTTGCTTAGATTCCGTAGCCGAATTTGTGTTCCTGCTAGTGGTGATTTGAGGAAGGAGATTATGATGGAGGCACATAGTTCTAGTTACAGCATTCATCTTGGAAGCACTAAGATTTATCGGGATCTTCATGAACATTTTTGGTGGAATGGTATGAAAGGAGATATTGCAGAATTTGTGGCTCAGTGTTTGGTGTGTCAACAGGTTAAAGTAGAACATCAGAAACCCGCGGGGAAACTAAAACCCTTACCTATACCAGAGTGGAAGTGGGATCATATTACCATGAACTTTGTGTGTGGTTTACCTCGTACTAGTAGTAATCACGATGCAGTTTGGGTAGTTGTGGATAGATTAACCAAGTCAGCACATTTTATTGTAGTTCGAATGAACTATTCTCTAGCTCTATTTGCACAGTTGTATGTGAAGGAGATTGTTAGATTGCATGGTGCACCTGTGTTAATAGTGTCATATCGGGACCCTCGCTTTATGTTTAAGTTTTGGGGTGCATTACAGTCAGCTCTGGGTACTCGGTTAAATTTTAGTTCAGCTTATCACCCTCAGACAGATTATTACCACAGTATCACCTGCAGTCCATTGCCTGGAGGAGACCTTGAGTACACTAGACTATGCACATAGGGCAAAACATATTAGAAATAAGCCTGAGGTTGATATTGGAATCTTCTTAGTACAAGGGGCGAAGCGTCCCTGATTTGATAAATCATTTTTCATATATGTATCCTTCATCGTTCAATCATTGGTTTCTGAAGTCTATTCATCTGACATTCACCTCTAATCTTGTAGCTTTTTTCTTCATGTTTAGGTAATGGCAGATCAGACTGAACAAATGGCAGTTACAATAGAAATCCACCAGAAGGTCCGTTTAATTTAACCAACTGTAAAAACAATAGAATTTGCTATGACCAGTAACTTGAAGAATTACAAGATAAATTCGATGATCAGGTTAAAAAATGCTCTAACATAGACAACAAACTTGATGCCACCCAGGTAAGTTCTATCCGTATGTGGTTATGTATGGTTTTAGGATTGAAAGTTTTGTAGAAAAACTTGAATGAAACAAGCAAATTGTTGGCCAGCACTGAAGAAGAGTTAAGAAGATGCTAGTATGCTCTCAAGGAGTGTGAATTTATTATCTCTAAGCAGCAAAAAGCAGGTATGCTTGAATATTTCTGTTGTTCGAATTTATTTGCTAGCTCCATCTAACTAATGTTGGTAAAGAATTGAAATGGTTCCCTACATTCACCTTGTTTGGTTGAATGATTGAAAGTAGTTTGAATTGAAAATGTAAGAACCCAAATATAAAATTAAGTAAATAATTAAATAATAATAATAATAATATTATAATCTCGAATATTTTGGTGGTGAATCCTAAAGTGCAAATTAAATATTTGAAGGTCTTTTGAAGCCTAAAATAAATTTGTGGTGAAAGCATTTAATTTAGAGGCAAGATTTATTATAAAAAAAATATATAGAGAGAAGGGTGTGATTTGAACTCTAGACCACAATGTTAATATATAAGACTTTTACCATTTGAGTTGCATATAACTTATATATGTATTTTGTATATTTATCTATTTATTTGACCTATGTGTGCCCACCACTAGTATAAATAAAATAAACACAAACCCTAATTCGTATGATATTGTTTTCCCACAACTTTCTGAGCAATCATGAAAGGTAAAGAGAGGGAGAGAGACATCTAGGTCATTGGGTGAAAAGTGCTGAAAATTGCTGAGTTTTGTGGTGGCCATTGGCAAGGTAAATCCCATATTTTTTAATTCCCTCACTATCTTTTTCTTCTTCTTGTGAGTTGCTGCGTAGTTGATGGATCAAATTGGTGAAGTAGGTACATGTGTTGGGCATGGCTATGAAATATTTGGCTGATTGGGATAGTGTTGTGTATAAAGAATGGTGTAATTCTTAGTCCAAAAAATTTTGTACAGAATCACAAACTTTAAAAAATCAAGAAATCTTATCAAACGAATGAATTTTGAATTGAAATTTTTACAGTAGATTAATTACATATTGAGTTGCATATTTGAATTTTTTTCATAATTTTGAGAGTCAAAATCCATATAAACTGATGCGTTCAAATCTGTCCAGAAAATTGGTTTTAAACAGTAAGTTCGGGAGTGTTGTTCTCTTTGGGTATGAATCTGAAAATTATCAAATTAGCGTCATTAGAACCAGTTACGAGTCTAGTTTCGTAATTTTTTGGCCTTGCATTGATTGCTCATGTATACTAAAAGAACCATTAATTTCTTAAAGTGCTGCAGAAAATAACCTGTTTAGATATAATTGATTGTAGATAATTATTTTGATAAGCAAATCAAGTGAAACCATTTGGGTTTGAAACTTAGGATATATTAGTTGATATCTGAAGGGTTTTAGAATTTTTTGAACAACGTGGAGTGAGTTTTTAATTTTCAAAGTTAGCGAATAGATTGGTAAAACTAGTTTAAAATTCTGTTTTATCTTAAAGTTACTTTTAATTAAGTTTCAATTTGAACCCATGTCTTGGGTGATTTTAGACCTTGAAGAACATAAACTTAGGTAATATTTAAGAGTGACGGTGAGTTGGGTTGAACCGTGTTAGTGCGCTTTAGTTTGGGGTTACTTAGTTTATTATTCCTTTTAGTATGTTTGAATTAGTAGTGACGTATAGTTTTAATACTTTGTTCAGGGCACTAGTTGGACTTTCATACTTTATTCAAGGATTATATTATTTTGTATTTAGGTGAGTAGTTTCATGCTACATATTTTTATAAATGTTCCCCTACCCTAAACTGTTGAAAAATTAAATTGTTGTTTCAGGACTAAACTGTTTTGATAAATTATTATATTGTCAATGGAATCAAATTATTTCTGAAACATGTGTGAACTTGGCATACTGTAAACTATTTGTTTTGGTCTCATGTTTATAATGATGAACTACCATGTTTTGCGAAACTGATGTGTATTGATTATTGGAACCATCTGTGTATTTAGTCCAGGGAAATTATTCTACTGTGTGTGGTGACTCTGGCCACAAGGGAACAGATTCGGGTTGGGCCGTGATGACTCTAGTGCTCAACGATTGTACAGAAAAGACCTAAGTTAAGCTAGGTGACCTTCAATCGGATCGTCTTCGAGAAAAGGCCTGGCTTGCCACCCTGAGGATGACTCTTAGTTCGATATTGGATCCAACAGGGCTTATAACTTTGAGAATTGTGTGGCATAGTAGTTGTTATTTTCTTGGTACCCAAAAAATTATTGGTGTTCATGTTGTAATATGTTTTAAGTGAAAAATGTCATTTATCATGTTTTTGAGAGACATGAGTATTTTAACTGTTGAACTGTGGAACCTTCTTTTTGAAACAGATTATCCTTATCAAACTGTATGCCAATCTAGTTTCTGTGATATATATCTTATCTTGGAATTGAACCCTGGTTTCAAAACTGTATATACTATCCATGTTGCTACTCACTGAACTATCAGCTGACTTAGTCATTTACCATTTCCAGGTGTTAGAAGGACTTAGACTGGATTTATGGCGTAGCAAGGACTCAATTGCATGGACCTCTAGGACATTCTTTTTTTAAGAGTGTTATGTCAAGTTTGTGCATATTTATTTATTTATTTTTTACTTTTATTGGGGTTCATTGAGGATTATTTTGATATATGGGCTATTTATATACTATAAGTTTGGATGGTTTTGGTTACGATTGGTTTTTCTATTTATAATTGTGCCATGTCTGGATTGAGTTTTGGTTATTTTTTATTGGACTATTGTTTAGTTGTTCAATGTGATTATGGATTCGTATTTAGGCTTACGTGTGCCTTGGGCTAAGGCCCTGTGGGCCACGGCCGGTCATACCCGAGTTTGGGGTGTGACACTCATGGAAGATCCAATTCATCATATTCATAAACATGGCCAATGCGTTAGTTAACCCAAAAGGCATCACTAAGAACTCATAATGGTCATGCTGCGTACGGAATGCCGTTTTTTGGATATTCTCCTCCTTCACTCTCAACTGGTGATAACTCGATCTCAAGTCTGTCTTAAAGAAGCAACAAGACCCCTTCAACTGGTCAAACAAATCATCTATACGAGGTAGTGGGTACTTGTTCTTAATAGTTACCCGGTTCAACTTCTGGTAATTAATACAAAGTCGCAATGTTCTATGATTCTTCTTGGCAAAGAGAGTTGGTACTCCCCAATGTGATGTACTAGGGCGGATAAAGCCCTTATCTAAAATTCCTGGATTTGAATCTTCAACTCACTCAACTCAGCGAGTGCAAAACTATATGGTGCCATAGAAATCAGTGTCGCGCCAGGTACAAAATCGATAAAGAACTCAATCTCACAGTGAGGTGGTAAACTATTGAGATCCTTAGGAAATACACCCAAGAATGTAGCAAGTAGGAGACTAAGCTCATCCCAACCACGAGGATCATACACTAGTAATAAGGCTCTATCAACTCTATCCCCCAAGAAATAAAAACAATCACCACTCGACGTACATATAGTAACTCTTTGAGGGTAACAATCTACTTGTTATATCTGAAACTCGATATATCAATGCAAATGCAAAAGGAAGTCAGCGACCGACAACCTCTAATTCATAGCCCCGACACCCCTAATGCGACACAACCTCATCACTAACAGGTGACTCTACCCTGAGTGGAGATGCTAACTAAGCCACTTCTACCCCAATGCCGACGCAAATGTAGACGAGATAAATGAATGAGATGCACCCCTATTAATCAATACATTGACAATAGAGTTTCACAACAAGAAGTTACCTCGCACTACCGAAGGTGCTGGCACTAGGTTTGACGTGGTAACAGCATACACATGCCCTGTAGGTCTCTGCTCTATCTGCTCACCTCTCAGAGCTAAAGTCTAATGTACTGATTGAGCCGAAGAGGCTCCCTGATTGGCCCTTGAGGTCTGTGCTGACAGTGCAGGCTAATAGCTCTGTGTCTGTTTCTGACCAGACGCACCAGATGTGCCACCCGACTAAAGAAAAAACCTCATCACGTGCCTCGATTGCCCACATTGATAACAGGTAGGTGGTTGCCCTCTTCCCTAACTCTGGCTCTGAGAACGAGCCATCGACGGGGCATACTGTTGCCCTCCTCCCTTATGCGGGCAAACTAAAGACTTGTGACCCAGCTAGCCACACTTGAAACAAGTGATCCTCTCCTTGACCCAGAACTCGGTACAGGAAAAGTGGACCAACACTGTGCCCCGTGGGACTGCTGTGGGTTGGAACTTGTAAGAACCCGAATATAAAGATTTAGTAAATAATTAAATAATAATAATATTACAATCTCAAATATTTTATTGTGAATCTTTAAATGCAAATTAAATATTATTGGAGGGTCGTTTAACTAATTTTAAAACCTAAAATAAATTTATGGTGAAAGTCTTTAATTTAGAAACAAAATTTATTATTTATATTATCAATAGAATTAAATTATTTCTGAAACATGTGTGAACTTGGCATACTGTAAACTATTTGTTTTGGTCTCATGTTTATAATGATGAACTGCCATGTTTTGCGAAACTGATGTGTATTGATTATTGGGATCATCTGTGTATTTAGTCCAGGGAAATTATTCCACTGTGTGTGGTGACTCTGGCCACTAAGGAACAGATCCGGGTTAGGTCGTGATGACTCTAGTGCTCAACGATTGTAAGGAAAAGACCTCGGTTAAGCTAGGTGACCTTCAATCGGATCGTCTTTGAGAAAAGGCCCAGGTTGCCACCCTGAGGATGACTCTTAGTTCGGTATTGGATCCAACGGGGCTTATAGCCTTGAGAACTATGTGGCATATTACTTGTTATTTTCTTGATACCTAGAAAATTATTGGTGTTCATGTTGTAATCTGTTTTAAGTGAAAAATGTCATTTATCATGTTCTCGAGAGACATGAGTATTTTAACTGTTAAACTGTGAAACCTTCTTTTTGAAACAGATTCTCTTTACCAAACTGTATGCCAATCTAGCTTCTGTGATATATATCTTATTTTGGAATCGATCCCTGGTTTCAAAACTATATATACTATCCATGTTGCTACTCATTGAGCTATCAGCTGACTTAGTTGTTTACCATTTCTAGGTGTTAGAAGGA